CCCCCCCCCTCCCCCAGCTGAAGAAAGGAGTTGTTTATAAACAAAATGGTTGTTTATAAACATTGGTTTCTTCAGTATATTTGCTCGAACTAGTTTGTCAGCAACTGCTTCTTACCTCCAATCTTGTGCCATGGAAGCTGCCATGATGGAAGGTAACAACGCATATATGAAGTACATGCAAACACACAAGCACACAAAAGTTTCGGATGGCACAGTGTCCATTGATCAACTACCTCTGATCAAAGTGGAGCCCAAATCCAAAAAGTCCTTCAAGGAGTTCTTTCAGGTCATCCGCAATGTGTCTGATGTGGATGTGGCTGCTATTCGTTCAGTGATGAGTGAGGCATCACCAAAATATGCTCATCTACCTGCATCTGTCCGTCCACGTGATGCTCTTGGTGACTCTTGTGTACTTCAATTAGTTTTGGAAAAATCTGCTCATGCTTCCTGGACAGTCCTCAAGTTCTACCACTCTACGGTGTCAATTCCAATGGGCTTGGCCAAAACTCTTTGCAACAATAACGTCCTCACCATCGACTACAAGATTTGCTCTAATTCTGATGTCGTCAAGAAGGGCTTCATGAAGATGTTGAGCAAGATTCCAGGAGACCAGTGGCTAACACAAGAAGTAGTGGACAAGCCACAGATTCAACGGCATACTTCCAAGGATGGAGACAACAAGACCCGTCCATCAACCACTCGACTGGTTGGAGAGATGCCAATACTGGATTCCATTCGAACGATATTGAGTCCGAGTTTTCCCGTCTCAAGACCATGGTGAGAGAGCGCTATGGTAGGTTATGCTTCCAGTCCACAGCTTCAAATGAAGCAGAAGACGAAGTAGATGTAGGGGATCTGTACGAGTACACGTTCAGAGTCAACATTGGCAACTCATTTCAATCAATGCTGAATGCATTTGTTTTGTCATCACCTTAGCGTTCATCTGTGTACTCTGTCTGACCAACGGTATGGGTATAGATTGCAATGCAATCTGCTGCAGTAGCTTTACGCAAAAAATGTCATGTCTTTAGCGTCTGCATCTGCAAGGTATGTTCTTGTAGTGGTTTCTGTATGTGTTTGCTTGCATGATTACTTCAATGTCATTTGACAACAAGCATATAGCTTTTTGCAGGTGGTATCTGTATTTGATTACTCTTGTTTACTTTGGCAGTTTGCATGTTTATAAACACTGACTACTGTTTATAAACACACCACTTCTTCATCGATGAAGTTATCTTGATAGTGACTGGCTCCAGCTCAAGTCTGTATCAGTGTCATCATGGCGCCCAAGAAGGTGATGTTTGTGGCTATGGGTTCTGAAGTAGAACCTGGGCGGTTTTCGTTGGATCTGCAGACGGTGGACCCTGTCATCTACCGCCCAGACCCAACTACTGATGCTGAGCCGTCAGTGCCTGTGCCCAACGCACATGAACTCCACCAGGACATCGTCAGTGGCCGCAAAGCAGCGTGTGAGTCAAAACAACAACGAACACCGAGACAGATTCAAGCGCATATTCACTATGTCCAAAGAAGCTTGAATTTAGCTCCTGGCATTTCTGGCCAGTGGTCTCGTCAAGCGCAAGATGTTCTCGACACGTGGCTCTTGAAAGATTTGAAGGGCGTGCAGAAAAGGAATATGTTGGCATTGGAGGACAAACCACCTGCTGAAAGTTCCTGCTCAAAAGCCGTTGGCAACATCGTTGAGAGCTCAGAAGCCCTGGACTCACAGCCAAAGGATGAGGATGCCAACATCTTTGAGGACCATCACTCAGAAGCCCTGGACTCACAGCCAAATGATGACAATATAATGGACGAGGATTGCGTCAAGGAGACAACCCCCAAGGATGGCAAGGCCAAGGTCTCATCTTCATCTTCTTCGTCTTCTACCTCCTCTTCCTCGTCCTCTGGCCGTACTAAGCGCCGCAAGGTAGAACTGCAGGCTGCATTGACACATCTGAAGGACTTACAAGAAGTGCACCACCTTGAAGACATGGGCGGTTGTCTGCAAATGATTAAATCCGCCATGCAGAATGTCAATGCAGCTTTGCGCTTGTAGATAGCATGAACCTCCTCTGGCATGAACCTGGGCGTATGGCGTATGAAAGATTTCATGCAGTCTATGTGCAATGTTTTTGTGGAAGTATATGCATATATATATATATATATATGGGCGCGTTTCATGGTATTATATCTTATCCATTACTTCTCAGGGGGCCCCGAAAAGCACGCGCGCCCATATATATATATATGCGTGTGTGTGTGTGTGTGTAGTTAGTATATGTATGTATAACACCCATAACACACATACTTTCATATATATTTATAGATATATATATATATCTATATATATTCTTATATAATATATAATATACAGAAATATATCGTAATTTTATAGCATATTTACTGCACCTCGCACTCACGTTTACGAGGCATATCAATCCCCTCTTATCTTCTCAAGGAAGCCTCTTTACAGCTCTGCAATCTCTGTATCCGATCTTTTTTTGTACCCCTCAGTCCTTGGCTTCTACGTTCAAAGGAGCCGCTACTCCCAAGAACAGGAAGTAGGAAAAAATAAGTTCCCTGATGTAGGTTTGGCCAGCGACGTACAATAAATTGCGGTCCGAGATTCGTGTATGCTCTGGCCAACCTGCTTTGCCAGGTCATAGCTATCTGGTGTAGGGGACCGATGAGTCAGCGAAAGATGGTGCTGCTCCGGTTCGGCGACCGTATCCCCAAAGCGAACGTGGACCTCCGCAGACGTCGAGCTCGAGAGATCCTCGGGGGAAAAGTGACGCGACGATGGTCGTTGTGAGCATACCAGCAACTACCAATTGGTATGCTAGCTCGTGCCGTCTGAAAGTTCAGACGGCAAAGTCTCAAGGGCTTCAGGCGGCAGGTCAGCACACACACACACACACTGACACTGTGGATGTATTATGATGTATTCGATGGGTTTCTTTCTAGCAGTCGTTTGAGGACGAAATCCAGCTTACAGAAATCAGACTTGTTTCAAGCGAGTTTGCCAAGTTTGACAATTGCCTCTGCATTCGGAGTCAGAAGCCTCTCCGACAGGGCTTGGAAAAACAACCCATCAAATGAAGTCTGGCGGATACGGGTTCCTCCTACAAACCCTATCTGACAGAGCTGCAGAGGCCTCAACATCTTCCCTGGCAGACCTTGGCGTCCTCGGGGTCATTGGGGTCCTCACAACTCTTCTTACGAAAGTCTTGGTTGCTATTATTGCTATATTTAAGTGCTCCGCCTGTTGTCATGCCATGCCTGTTCCACGAAACGCGATTGAATTCAAGACCGCAAACCAAGCAACCAAAAGAAAAAAAACTGGCACAGTACACGTCTGTACTGAGTTGACGAGAAAAGAACATCAATGTCTTGCCGACTCTGATGCATTGCCTGTCCTCACGTGTGGGGTGCCAATCTGCATTCGCCAAATGTCCAGCTTGGCGTCCAAGTGTTCGAGCCAAGTGTCCAGCCGTGAAAGCACCTGTCAAAGTGGCGTGGGCAAAAACACCCGTTTTCCAGGGCAAAACACGAGTGCGAAATTCGAGCCTATACGCAAATTTGAAATGCTTCCTATACGCCAATTGACATGTTGGAAAGACTCGCTCGAGCGAAAAACTCGACTCCCCCGGCCTGACTGTTGTGCTTCTTAAAGACTTCATCCAACATACTTGGCAGCTCAGCCTTCATTTCATGTTCCTCCATTGTAGTGAAGGATCGACGGTACACACTACCTTGAGCAAATTTCCTGCGAGGAGATAAAGCCGAGCCTGGCCAAGATTTGCATTACCCAGAACCCCTACATGTTGCAAGGCGCAGAGCGGCAAAAGCTTTTTGCTGCGTCCGCCATCGATCTCAGGTCATGCTTGGCATGCCAGGGGATGGACAACTTTGGACGCTGCGAACAGGTTTTGGACGATGGATGGTTGTCAGTGTGCAAATAGCATTCCTTCGATTGCGTGCCGTGCTTCACGCAGTGCCAACACCTCACCCAAAGTCCACAACCCAAAATGACGACGCCTGGAAACGTGAGTCGTTCAACGGGGGGTTCAACGTTTGAAACGAGAGTCCTGGCCCGCCTCAAAACGGCGGAAGATGGACGCGCATGGATCACTTGCGCAAGGGAGGTGAGGGCGAGGGGATGTGGGGTCAGGTGGGGGGTTAGGGACAGTCACTTCAACTGACAGCAAGTAATCACCTCCAACCCTCCGCCACAAGCGCATCGGCGCTTCACAAGCGATCCAAATCGCACCTCACAAGCGAATCCCCGCCCCCAGAAAGCTCCTCAGGATGCAAAGAATGCTCTCCGAGCTGAGGAGCTACTTTGCTTATAGCCGCTTGCCTTCGAGCCCCGAGCTGCTCCGTAATGAAGCTCAGCTGCTTTTGAAGCTTCACCTGAGGTCCAACGTGCTAAACCTCATGCTCACGTCTTGCTATTTTAGCTTCCTAGGGCAAATGCTCCTCGATCATCCGAGACTTGGGGTGAAGCTCCGATCCAGAGTTGTTCGACTCTCCGAGTGGGAGGTTCTCGGGGTCGGGTTTGCAAGTTTCTCGTACCTCTCGGGGTCATGCGTCTTCAAACTTCTGTTCTTAAACCTCCTCTATGTTTCGACCAAGCGTCATTTTGCATTCGAACTGCGAAAAGATCCACGGACTTGGCTGGGCCATGCAGCTGCAAACAGCGCTCTGTAAACTCATCCACCGACACCTCAAAGTCCCCATCCTTGTCGAGACTGGTGAAGAGCGTCCAAGCATCCACAGCGCCCAGCTGCAAAGCGTGCAAGAAGGCCTGAAGCTTACACTTGGAAGCCAAGACCAGTCAAAAAGCACAGTCTAAACGCTTGGAACACAACAGCGTCATCCGACAGTACTCCAGACTCCCCGTCTTTGAGTCGTAGTTTTTCAGGATGTTTAAGGCGCACCATCTATATAATGCGTGTAAACGGTGAATCTAACGCCGCCGCACCTGCATCGCCTCAGTGTTGTAGGCTTTTTCGAAATCGCTGATCGTCACTCGGCCAAGTCCGCGCTCATCGATACTGTGAAAGAGCTTCACCACATGCTCGCGCAACTCCTCTTCACGGCTAAAAACCCAGGAGAGGTAAACAAGGCAAAACCAGAAACACGACCTTCAAGGAAATCTGGACATGTGCAGAAGTGGGACAGCCGGGGGTATTCCTTCGTGATGTTATAAATCCACTGCCCGATTGCTCAACAAATGCCCCACTCCTTCCGCATTTGTACAATCGAGTGGAGCATAAGCTCGGTGTCATTTTCTGCTGCCTTAATCGCAGAATTGCAGAAGACTCCTGCACGGCAAAGGGCGGCGGTCGGCACGTTTAACGAACGCGATCGGAAGGAGTCGCCGCGTTTGTCGCGGCACGGCTTCACCACTCCGACCGCATGTGGAGCAACCTCTCAGCGTCACCACGCGTACTCAAAAACAAAACGTTTTGCGTTGCCTAGCTAGCCGGTCCTGTCATGACATTGAGCAAAGCGAAGCTGCAGAAAGCCACATAGAAGTGGAACAACATGAACCAAAAATCACCAGCAGGTTGTAAGGAGTCTGCTGCCACTTTCCAGGAGATGCCGTTGGAAATTGACCGAAAGAGTGTTCCTGTCGCAAGTCCGAGGTCGCCAAAGTGCTTGGACATTTCGATGAAATGCTGAAACTCGATGCTGTCAGGCCCTGCCGACTCTTTGTAGTCCAACACCACGTCAAGGAACAAAATGCCAAAGATGTAGACCACCAGGCCCAAAAGAAGGAAAGACCAAAACAATGACTTCAGGGTGCCTGGGCACAAGAATCTACTTTGCGATGTGTTGGGTGTAAATGACGGCCATTGAAACTCTTGCGACTTGCTGCCCTATTTGAGGCAAGCATCATTCCCTACCCGGCCCTACCCGTGGCACACGAAAAAACTAACAGTGCCCATGAGAAACCTTGCAATGAAAAACATGGTCATGAAAATTGTGACTGTTCACCGCCGAACTGTGGTCAAAGCTGGCCGAATTGGGCTCAAACTCTCCTCAACTCCCTGGCACCCAAGGCTTGAAGTCTCGAGGGTCCAGAGTCAGGTGCCACAGGGTATCCAAAAGTGCTGCTTCAGCTGTACTCTCCAGCCGTGCACTCTTCAGACGTGTGCTCCTGACATGTCTAAGCGGGTTGCTCCTCATGTGATTTTTTGCCTCTATGCTCCACATCTGCTCTTTCGCTCTTGCTCCTTGCTTGATATGCCCTGCTCTTTCCTTGTTTGATTCGACCCCATGTGCGGCATGAGCGCGGGTAAATCTCTCCAGTGGCAGGCCTCTTCTGAGAAAGCTCGAGCTTACACTGACTTGGAGGTCAGTACAAAAGAAAACAGCCAGAGAACATGGAACACCTCAAACTGAAACCAAGCTCAGTTAGAAAGGTTCAAAGCTGGCGCCCAGGTGCCCATGAGAGATGCCACCAAGGTCCTCAAAGCCCGGAAGAGACGTACCACCCGGACGATGCGCAAGACGCGAGCTATACGGCCAATGCCTCAGTGCCACGCGGTCCTCGTGAGGTCACAAAAATGGCTCCCTGGATTCCACTGCGCACTCAATTGAGCAAAGCTGTTTATGCACACGGTTTTGGGTTGTTCTTTGTTTCATTGCCCGTGGCCGTGCCTCCTTAGTTAAGTAGGCGCCTACTTAATTAAGAAAGGGAGAAGAAATTAGTAACTGGACGCAGGATAGCTCACGCTAAGGATTTGGTTCCTAGATCTTTCGGGAAGAGAAATGCAACAAAAGGTGTTCTGCCTGTTTTCTTGACGGTGCTGTCCCCAGTCTGCCCGCGTGTGATCGCGACTTTCGTGGAACCCATCCCGTGGACTGCAGCTGGCAGCATGGATGCAATCTGAAATCTGCTACTCACCGGAACCTTTCTTATGTTTAGCCACTCAGGGAAGTGGCTTAATCTAAGGGCAGAGTTCCTGTGGCATTGATCTGACAGTTTGGGAGCATGCCAGCTTGCAAAGAAGAAAAGGAACATCCAAGGTCTACAAAAAAGAAGCAACAATAAGTCACCAAGGGTTTTTCCTCGTTTTTCCTCCTGCTAAGCAGAATTCCCAGGTGCGCAACACCCTCAGGATGCGAAGGTTTGTGTTGGCTGCTCTAGCCTCTCCACTTGCAAAATCCACGGCCATCTCCACCCAGGAGGAGATCACCACAAACATGTCCAAGATATTCCAGTGCCAGTTAGGCCCCCAAATGTACCGGAAAAAATTGCCGGCACCAATTAACCGCAGGATGACCTGTGCAAGCAGGAGCAGTTGCGGAGAGGGAAATCCAACTCCAAATTCAAAGGCTGAGATCTAAAAATGAGTTCAGGTCACAATGCACAATGCCTCGAGGGTGAACAAGATTGCATAGACCAAGTGGATGTGAAAGAAGACTGGCTTTTGTGCCACATCATAGTCCAACGCGGTGATCTCCAAATGCACCCCCAAATAGATAGAGTTGGTGAGGATAAAAAATGTCCATATACTGTTGGATGCAGGAGAGTTGATGCAAGCTGATACCTTCTGCTGGAATTTCTGGCACATGGAGCGTCCCTTCAGGGCGGCACTTCCTCTCAAAGAATGGGCAATGACTCGATCAAACGCTTCAGAGACGTGTCGATCAGCCAGTGTTGCGAGTTGATAGCTGTCCATCCTGTCGAAGTGATCCAGCTCTCGGTTGGACCTTGCCCGGACGGGAGCGGCCTCGGAATCGTGCGAGAAGAGCGGCGCATCCTCCACCCGAGGCTCTTCGGCCTCGAAACCGCACTCGTGGTGCGAGTGGGGCTTGCTGGCCTGCCGAAGTTTCGGACTCTGGGGAAGCTGGAGGGACTCTTCCAGGCGCCAAAGCCAATCCTGGCCAGAAGGAGATGTGATGTGGGGACTTGGAATCAAAGGAGACTCCATCGAAACAAACAGGTCACGGTCTGATTATGATTGGTCAGGGAAGTGGCTCACCGTCACCGTCATTACGTTCATCGGTTTCTAATGTGGTGAATTGTACTAGCACGGAGTCCAATGTGACCAATGTCACAATTCAGAAACAAATGGTTTAAATAAATGCTGTATAGCATGATTGGCGAAGTCAATTCAAGCCATTCGCTCCTCCAAATAGGCCATCATCTCCACACGGTGGCTCTGTAGTAGCTTCCTCGTCGTATTTTCCTCCATGCCTATCTGTTCTGAATGGAGGCCTTCCTGACTACGGTTGAAATCTGGGCACTGCTTGATCCAAAGAACCAGGCATACAAGCATTCACCGGAGACCAAAGAGCAACACACCAGCGAAGCCCTCCACACAGCACACTGTAGTACACTCAATACTCTGGCATGTAGCAACCAAATGTGCCTGCAACACCCGTCGTCACGTTGCTGAATTGTTGCGGCTGCTTTCAGCACTTCACAGTGGCCGTATCGCCATGTCATTCCCTACTCGTCTATATATATATGTGTGTGTGTATACATACATAATACACGTGTGCCTTTGCATGCTTCTGCTAAGCGGGCCGAATTTTTGCCCGAGCTCACGATCTGAGAGATCTGAGAATCTGAGAGTGTGAAATCTCAAAAAAAAAAATGGTGAATTTGCATTTTGCAGATTCACCTCTCTTCGTCGCTAGCAACTACACTCTACACTGTGAAACCATGGCCGCGAAGGGCGGCACCGGATACTTGCATCAGTTGCAATTCCAAGCGGGCATGTGCATCCGCAATCTTGCGAAGCTGCTTGTCCATCTTGGCCTCGCAAATAGAAAATATAACAGAAGAAAAACAAGTCTGAGTCAAGGACGTTAAACTATCAAATGCAAACAACAGAAAAAAAAAGAAAGGAGATGCTGTAACTAATAAGGAATATTAGATACGTCCTCACACAAAATGGTAGGAGAGAAAGAAAGATATACAGTGGGCCATTGGCCATATCCTTCTGTTTCTACTCAATCCCTCCAAAGGTGTCATTCGATCGATTTGCACGGTTCAATCTATGTATAGACACTTGGGGAAATAAGAAGATCATGAGTGCCCAAATGGGCATACATTGATTTTTATGATTTGTTGACTTCCACCAAAGGATTCATTCCAGTGCCAATTGGGCATTCAACAGCATATCATCCACCCTTCTTTGCATGTCCCTCAGCTATGTTTCGGCCAAGCGTCATTTTGCATTCGAACTGCGAAAAGATCCACGGACTTGGCTGGGCCATGCAGCTGCAAACAGCGCTCTGTAAACTCATCCACCGACACCTCAAAGTCCCCATCCTTGTCGAGACTGGTGAAGAGTGTCCAAGCATCCACAGCGCCCAACTGCAAAGCTTGCAAGAAGGCCTAAAGCTTACACTTGGAAGCCAAGATCAGTCAAAAAGCAACAGCATCGCTTGGAACACAACAGCGTCATCCGACAGTACTCCAGACTCCCCGTCTTTGAGTCCTACCACTGCTGCAGTTTTTCGGGATGTTTAGGCCGCACCATCTGTAATGAAGTGCGTGTAAACGGTGAATCAAACGCCGCCGCACCTGCATCGCCTCGGTGTCGAAGGCTTTCTCGAAATCGCTGATCGTCACTCGGCCAAGCCCGCGCTCGTCGATACTGTGAAAGAGGTTCAGCACATGCTCGCGCAACTCCTGCAGGGGCGTTACCCAACTGCACCTTCAATTCGAGACCGACACTCTGAGTGGACAAGCTGTAGATGTCACAAAAAGTGGCCCACGCAGCCCGCTCCTTCCGCATTTGGACCAGGGACTGGACCAACAGCTCTGTGTCATTTTCGGCTGCTTTGATCGCAGAATTGCAGAAGACTCCTCCAAAGCGGGAAACAGCTTGGACTTGGCAAGGCTGGGCGAAGCCGAAAGGCGAAGCACTGAGAGGGAGAGAAGGACATTCCCCTGAACAGCAAAAAGAAGAAGAAGTGCTCATTCCCCTACCGCCGCTGATACCATACGTTGCACCGCTCATACCTATCCACTTGCGAACATGTGCAAGCAACAAGGCCGGTCCTGTCATGACATTGAGCAAAGCAAAGCTGCAAAACGCCACATAAAAATGAAAGAGCCAGTACCAAAACTCCCCAGCAGGTCTCAAGGCGTCTGCTGCAATTTTCCAAGAGAAGCCATTGGAAATGGATCGAAAGAGCGTTCCACAAGCAATGCTGAGGTCACCAAAATGCTCGTTCAGAGCAAGCATTTCCACGTTTTCAGGCTCCTTTCCTTCTTTGAAATCCAGACTGACATCGAGGAACAAAGTCCCAAATATGTAGACCACCAAGCCCAAGAGAAGGAAGGACCAAAACAAGGACTTCAGGGTGCCTGGGCGAAAGGCCGTTCAACGAGGGTCGCCACTGGCGCATCTTCAGAAACAGTGTCCAAAACCTGGAACATGTTTGGGGCCTGGCTTGAACAGGCCGGGCAGTCACTTGCGCACTGGGAATTTCGGTCACTTGCGCACTTTGGGTCACTTGCGCACTTGGCATCAAAAATTTAGGTCACTTGCGCACTTACCTGCTTCCTAGCAACGGGTGGTGCCTACTCCACATGCAACTAGTGAATGGGTTGGGGTGGGGGGTGGGGGGTGGGGTGGGGGGTTGGGGGGGGGTTGCAGTTGCCAACCATACAA